ATTGCGAAAAAGACCTACACCAACTTAGAAATTGAGCAATAATGGTCCTCTAAGCGTCCTAACTGCATGTTTTTCGCCCAGCATCAAGCAGGGCATCAGGCTCTGTACGGCCGAATTTCTACTTGCAAGCATAATTTCTTAGCAAAGTAATGAATTTCAATGTCTTATAACTTCTCCTGCGAAGAAGCAACAATCGCTTGCCATTCTGCAAAATATTGATGACAAGTAGAAAGTTGTGAACGAGGGTTCCTATTCCGCGAATATGTAGTTTAAGGAGAACTTATATGACGAGTTAAGGGCAGTGCCTCTGCAAATCTGAACCTACTGACGCGCTTATCCCGAAAATCAACTTTAGGGAACTTGAAAATGGCGGAAACGCGCGTTTTCCAATGCCTTTATTTTGAAATTGGACGAGTGAAGCAAGATGACGCTGAATCGTTGCAGGAATCAATGGTCCTAGGCGGTGGGCAGCCTCCGATGGTGAGAATAGAATTGCCAACTCGTCCGAGGGCGTGTGGGATTGGCTCGCGCTTGTAAGTTTGAGAGCAATTTTCTCGGCAGGGAAGGCATGCTGTGCGACCTGGATTGCACTGTTTACATACTTGGTCGATAAGCAACCTACAAACTTAGAATTCTAAGTTGTTAAGTTCTGCCGGCCCAATGCCTTTGAATCGTAGGCATTGCTGGTTGCTATGCAAAGAAAGTGCTGGTAATTTTTCAAAAATTTGGAGCCAATTGAATTCGATCTTCGTTTGAGTAAAAATCTGACTCAATACTGAAATCGCTAAGATTTAGGTAATACGCAAAGAATTTACTTTAGAAAAAATGAAAAGGAAAGAAAACTACTGGCACTCTTGCCATGATTGATCTTTCATTTGAATTGATATTGGCAGTGAATAGAGCCACTGTCCATGCCTTTTACCCTTCATCCGCACTTTTCACCGCTATCGGTGCTCTTGCACTATTACTGATCGAGTACTGTAGAGAATGCACAGTGTCTGCGTCTCGCGTGGGCGTACGCTCTCCCATCGCTACCGTACATCAATCATTCTTCGTTAGGCGGGTGGACTGGCGAGTTGTTAGCGTAGCGCATATCAGAAAAGGCCAATTTCACTTCAGTCTGTCCAGTTCTTCACTTCTGCAGCCCACTGCTTTATCCTACTCACATATCGTATTTGCTATAACATCTGACTGGCGGGAATCTTCAATTCTGGTCGACTCTACTGTTCCAGCCAGTTGCCTGGAAAGGCTGAAAGCTTTACGCAACTTTGAAGATTTTTGGTTCAATATCATCAAAGCCTTATCCTTGAATTTCTTATGTCTGGAATTGACTTCTTCGCTGGATGTCTTGGAGGTTAGTTCGCTTTGTACCTCAACACATTTTTTTAACCAGATTTTTTGAGGTGCGGCTGGAGTGCTAGCCGGACATCCACTGGATACTGTCAAAGTCCGTCTACAAATGCAGAATCCTGCTTCAAAAATGTATCGCGGCACGTGGCACTGCTTTAGGAAAATAATTCAGAAAGAGGGATTTGCTGGACTCTACAAAGGTAAGATTTTCTTAAGCGTAATGGTTGATTGTCACAAATTAGCTTGGGATCAATCGCTACCTATACGTAATCAATGCAATCGCATGATTTCGTGGACAAGCGCTATGTTTGTGGTCTCTGTTCTATGCGCATCAATCACTATTCAAGGCGAAGTAGCGTAGGAAAATATTGATGGCGTGATTGTGGTTAAGAAGATATCGGATATAATCTTTGTGCTA